TGTGTGTGTGTGTGTGTGTGTGTGTGTGTGTGTGTGTGTGTGTGTGTGTGTGTGTGTGTGTGTGTGTGTGTGTGTGTGTGTGTGTGTGCAGAGCTTAAGTACCTGAAAAACCCTTCAGTCTGCTGCTGAACTGCTGCTGACATTCAGTTCAAAATTAAAAAACAGTCACATTGCAGACAACATTCAACTAACTACCACCGTCTTCTTTTTTTTTAATAATGACACAATAAAGCCACACTGTTTTTGGATTTAATCATGATACATTCCAATAACGAAGCATGTAAAAGTCATGTGCACTTTCACTATAACTCAGGTATTATCCATCTATTGTGTAACTTATGGAAACAAATAAATATGTTATAACTTATAGTTATAGCATATTCATAACATACCTTCATGCCGTGTACATTGAAACATACCCATAATAGACCCATTTCTGTAATATACCTATATACCTATATTATTGCTAATATATATTTTGTAATATATCTAAATTATGGCTAAAGCACTTCTGGATGGTTGCAAACTGCATTTCGTTGCCCTGTACCTGTGCATGTGCAATGACAATAAAGTTGAATTCTATTCTATTCTATTCAAATGCACACTCAGATATATTTAGGTATTAAGAAATATTTTTAAAAAGAGAAGATTTAGTGAATTTCTGTGAAAAATAAGCAGTGAGTCTGTGATATAGCACTATGTCAGCAGAGGGCGCTACTAAACCTTCTAATAACCATTTCAGGGCTGTGCGGACTTCTGCATACTGAGGGTTGTCAAAGAGGAGCAGGCAATCCAGTGGTGTCATTCCAGTTCTGCCCATCTCCCGCTCAGCTTCCTGTCCTTTAGTCAGTGCCACTATCTCCAAACAATACATCACATCAGACCCAACTATCAGTTTGTAAACCTTCCCTTGTGCTGTTGTGCTTCTGTCACAAATCCCCCCTGACACTCATCTCCACCACCTCCACCCTGCCTGCAGCCTCTTCCTCACCTCTCCTCTGCACTATCTGTTGCTTTGGATGGTTGTCTCCAGGTATTTAACCTCACATACCTTCACTATCACACCTCCCTCTCTCTCATTCACACACTTATTCTCTGTTGCTTCGATTGAATTTCATTTCTCTTCTCTCCAGAGCATACCTCCACATCCCCAGGTTTTCTTTCACCTGCTTCCCACTTTCACTGTAGACCGCAGTATCTGGTGTGAACATGATAGTCTATAGAGACCCCTTCCTAACCTCACGTGTTAGCTTGTCCCTTTTTTCTCCATGTCCGCCACAAGCTGTAGTGTTAATAAAACTATTCTGTCTTTGCATAAGCCTCGTGGATGTGCAGAGTGTTGCCAGTAGATGTCACTGCCACCACATTCAACGACTGAACAACTGAAATTCACTGATGGCTGTTGATCTATATTTTAGTTAAAGCTTCTCTTTTTAAAAGGCCTCACAGAAAAATAACCTTTTTTACAAGTTAAAAATATTTTAACAGATGTTAAAATTTTAGAGGTTTATACTGTTTATATATAATATTTCAGAAAAATTAGAAATGAGTAACATTTATTAACTTTAGAGTTTACAAAGGTAAGCTTAAAAAAACCAAACCAAGTTGGCAAACACATTTTGCTTAGTCTGTGATACTTTGGGCTTTACACAGCTTGATTAATACACCACTGGCAAATCTTACATAGATCAGAAGTGGCCCACACCTGTATCTAACAACAAACAACCTTTATTTGTCACATACACAATTATACAGAGTACAACATGTAGCAAAACTCTTGTGTCCGAGCCGCAGACATAGCCTCGCCATTCCAGGAGTTGGTATTAAGCATGGGGGTCTAGCCAGGACCGGGTGGGAATCGAACTTGTGAACCCAGCGGCAAAGGTGTGTAGTCTTACCACCACACAGGATCCATCGCAGATTGGTTAGAGGGTGCAGACTTGACTTTTTCAATGACAGCTGCAGCTACTGGGGATCGAGCTAGTCTGACTCGCCTCTGGATCTTGGAAGTGACAAGACTTTTGCCCAGTTCTTCCAGGAAAAGCCGACGTTGGTACAATTTGAAAGAACAAGAAACGAAAAAGAAAGGATGACCAGTACTTTGGTCAACACAAAAACTGGAATGGGTCAAACTGACCCTTAACATAAAAGAAGGTCATCCTGAATCACAATCATCAGTTTAGGTTAATTACAGCCCAAGAACAGTATTGATAGGGGCCATATTTAAAGCGAATGTCTATTGCTACTGTGGAAGTGACGTAAAGACATTGATTTTATTTCAAAGGTTTCTGGCATCCTTTGATAAATGGCACTTTACCCAGTAAAAGTTTGCTATTCTGCATCTGTGTGATTTTGAGTGACAATAAAAAACTCCATGTATTAATACAAATTTACACCATACAGCCCTACTCCAAAAAACTGTCATTGATTTAACTGTGAAGTTGGGTTTCAAAAATAAGTGTTTAAGGTTTTTAGAGCATGTTAGCAGTGCCAGCACAGAACAGATCATCATGGTTGCTGCTGATAGACTTGTATAAGTTTATGTTAGCAAACTACTGAAACAAATGATAACTCAGTGTAAAAGAAGGAAACTAAAACAAAAAGGAAGTCTAAGCATGTACATTTTGTTTTAGTTTTATGTTGTTGTTGTTTTAAGAGCTGGATAGCTGCACTGTAATAGGAAAATCCAGCTGTTAGCCCTAATGTTAGGGTTTGTAGAGGACTTTCTTGAACCATAGCTTCCCCTGACTCAAACGGGTTCTCCTCCACACTGTCCTCATTTATAAAATGTTGACAAACTGAAGTATTACGGCTAACAGGTGCATTTTTCCCATTTCAGAGCAGCCAGTATAGGCCTACTGCTAAAGAAACAAACAGTAAAAGTAGATCCTGAGTATTTTCCACTGAGTTAACACAGACCAATTTAAGTCTTTCAGCAGAAACCAACCAACCGGCACAGTGAAGTCATGTTCTGTACTGGAGCAAGATGGTGCTAAATATACTTTGAACACACTTATTTCTTAAAACAGCTTCACGGACGGTGTTAAATCTGTGATAGTTTTTTAGAGTAGGGCTCCTTGGTGTAAGTTAGCTGTAGAGTTTCCTGTCCAGCTTAATGCATACATGCCTGTAAGACAATAATCAGGGCACGAGGGTGGCGCTTAAACTAATGGGAGGTATGACATTGCGGAAGGCTATTCCTGTCTGCTTACCACGCCTCTTCACAATAACGTGGAAGTCAGGAAATGCTTGTGTTAATATCAGGAACGGAGTGATCGGGCAGCTCAGAGCCGATCCGGGGAAGTGGACGGAGCCGACCGCTGAGATGGCTCAGGCGAATATCTCGGTGACGGAGAGCCAGTTCAGGTGTCCCATCTGCCTGGACATCTTGAAGGACCCGGTGTCTATCCCCTGCGGACACACCTACTGCATGGCATGCATCAACAGCTACTGGGACCGGGTGGACTCGGGTCAGTTCAGCTGCCCTCAGTGCCGGGACACGTTCAGCCCTCGGCCGGTGCTGCGGAGGAACACTGTGCTCGCCGAGGTTCTCGGCAAACTCAAGCTGAATGAGATTGACACAGCGCCGGAGGTCTACCTGGGGGGAGTCGGGGAAGTTCCCTGCGACTTCTGCACGGCGGAGAGTAAACTGAGGGCGGACAAGTCGTGCCTGGTGTGCCTGGCGTCTTTCTGCAAGCTTCACGTCCTGCCGCACCGTGAGGTCGGTACTTTGCGACGCCACAAGTTGGTGCCAGCGGTAGAATGTGTGGCGGAGAAGCTGTGCGCTCAGCACCGCCTGGGGCTGGAGCCCGAGGGGAGCGGCTCCGAGGCAGGGGCTGCGGTGGAGTGGAGCGGGTACTGCCTGCTGTGCCAGGCCGACCAGGAGGAAGCGCCCAGTGTGGAAGCGCAGAGAGCTAGGAGACAGGTACTGCTGAGAGAAACTCTGAGTATCGTATAATACAGCACAGAGTTAAGACTCTCACATTAAGTCAGGATACCCCGAAAAGTGTGTGTGTGTGGGGGGGACCCTCAGTGGGAAAGAGCCACATAAAATTTCTGTTCACTTCTAAAAAGAAAAACATTGTTCATCAAACAAACAGGAAATACTTTCTTCTTCTCTTTTCTTAAAAATAAACTTAGTAGTGTTGAACTGAACTTACAGAATCCCCACAAAATTTACTGCAGATAATAAGCTGCTAAGTACGACTTTAGTATGTAGGAAGAGTCCAAACAAGAGTGAAATCGATTAACTAAATAGATTTAGATTTATAACTATTGCACTGTAAGGACGCCTTACAGCAGCAGTTGGCTGAAGTGATGCCACAGAAGTTAAATCATGCAAAATTATGTCTCAGTACCTGGACAGAGAAGATAAAACACACTCTGTTCTGTGCCAAACACCATCAGAAATAATAGCTGCACTATTTGTCCTGGCTTCAGATTTAATCATTAAGTTAGACCTTTGCTTGCAGACGGTGCTCACAGCTTCTCTTAATGCTTTCCAACTTTGTGGATAGCAACTACAATAAAATCTTCTTCTTCTTTTTTTGCATTTTAAAATAAGCTGCATCAATGCATCCATAATTTAAAGTTAAACCTGAGCATAATGAGCATAGATGTCCTTTCATTATGTCTGCAAATAATTTGATTTGTTAGGTTTAGGAAAATCCTAACAGTATAGTTTGTTGGTTCCTAAACCCAACCCAACCGCACTGAAAAAAACCATTATTAATATCAGTTTCACCTTTATCATAGCCATCCATATGATGTTTGTGGGTGTACTGTGGAGTATTTTAGTAGCAATTTCCAAAGCTGCAATTTACAGTAACCATCCAGATAATTTTCAATGGTGGTTTGCAAGCCAACTAATAATTAGTTAGTAATTACCTCTCAGTTTAGCACTTATTAATGATGTTGCTTATGAACAGTTATCAGTCTTTTAAAAGATAAGGCACTTGTATAACAGCTGTGTTATATATGAGATATTTTACGAGCTTTCACCACATGGACCGTAATTCCCCCGAATGCAGTAAAAATGCTCATGCCAAATATCTGAATGGATGTCTTATTCTCTAATTGTTTGTCTGTCCGCCTCCATCTGTTTCTCTGTTTGTCTGTCAGCTCCAGCTCCAGGAGTCTCAGAGGATGGTCCAGGGGAGGATACGGACCGGAGAGAGAGAGCTGCAGGAGTTTCAACAAAACTTGGAGTCTCTCAAGGTGACAAAAACACAAACACACCCAGTATGTCCTAATGATTCTGTGGCCTGTGGGTAGTTCTTGGTACTGGGAAATTAACTGGTACACCAGGAACTTACCTGGAAAATGTTAGCTGTTGTCACCCAATACCTCAGCTTCTCTTACAGAAAGGACAAACTCATAGACACACCTGTGTCGCAGATCAGTAGAAAACTGCTCATTGGGTATAGGTAAATGTATGTATCATGGTAATTGGGCTATTAATATCCTTAAAAGATGACTTTTCAAGTAGTAAATGTAATTGTAACAGGACGTCTTTTTAAAGTTAATGACTGGCCGACCAGATGTAACCTAATGTCCATAGATGTCTAGTACTTGTGGTGTATCGCACTAATTAACAGAAACAAACGAATCCATCAGCCTCTAACACGGGCTTGCTGAAACTTTTGACCACTCTTCTGTGATAAATGTCTTCATTTTAGTGGGCTTCAGCTCTCCTGTTCCCACCTTTGGATGATCTAACATGCCTAGGACCATTACCATTGTTGAAAGTTCCACTATAGTCTCAATTTCAAATTTCAGACATGCCTTCAAGCTTTCTTCAAGCAGTTTGATATGATGCCGATAGTTTTCTAGCTCTCCATCCGTTGACATGGCAATGAACTCCAAAGCATGACATTTCCATCACCATGCTTCACAGCAAGTGTGACTTCCACTGGCACATCAGCTCCTGGGCTGAATTTGCTGGAGCAACCAGTCGAATATAAAATTAATGCTGACATCTGTTTGAAATCTATGCAACTTACACTCACTGGACACTTTATTAAGGACACCTTGCCTGTAACAGGCTGGACCCACTTTTACCTTCAGAACTGCTCTAGTTCTCCATGGCATAGTTTTGAAAAAGTGCTGCTCTGTTGGCTGCACATCCATGATGTGAATCATCCCAAAAATGCTACAGTTTTCATTGGCTCGACTCATTTTTTTTACACCACCGTGTTGCAGAGCGTAGTGTGAGATGGAAACCTGCTCAGTCCTCTTTGTGTTTTTAACACTGTAATATTTCATGACACTGACCTTGAAATGAGTGTAGAGAGAGAAAGTTGGAAAGCCATTAAGAGTCAATCAATTCAAAGGGAGACAGGAAACCATTGGAAAGATGCTGAAACAGACACTGTGAAATAACTTGGTGCTCTCCTTTACTTCTTTCTGTTCAGACTTTTGTATAAAAATCCACAATTTTTGTTTGTTTGTTTTTACAAAATCCTGTAAACTAATGATTCATATGTTCTATAATGACACTGAGTCTGCTTTAACTGAGAATTATGTGGGTTTTGAAATTACTAATAATAATTTAATGTCTTTTTTTTTCAATTCCAGCTACTTGTTTGACATTCAGTATTTTGAATGTATCCTGTTTTTAAAAAAAACAGATATATATATA